AGCTTGTAAAAAGCCTGTGTCATTTAAAGTCAGAACGTCACTAACTCTACTTCGTTTATTTACGGTATTTATTTTATTACGTTGCTCAACCAGTCTTCAGGAAGACCGATCTTACCCGCAGAATATAGTACCTATTTGAAATTCCAACCTATAACCGTTACGTAGTTATAATTTAGGGACAATTAAAAATCTCTTTAAAAATTTTCCTAATCACCTCGACTGGGTCATCGTACCAAAGCCGCTAACGAACCGTGTACATTTTAAGCTATTGCATAGCTTTTATCGCGGCGACCGAATCAAGAAATTCCGTAACGACCGTAACGAAAAAAAACCTAACACCCCCCACTCCGACCGGCACAGCGGTGCGGCGTTAAACAATATTAACTTCTCATTTATTCAATAAAAGAAAATCGAAAAATCGAAAAATGGAAAAATGGAAATATCGAAAAACCGAAAAATCGATAAATCGAAATATCGAAAAATCGAAACAGATTCCGTAACGAAAATAAACCTAACACCCCCACTCCTACCGGCACAGCGGTGCGGCGTTGAAAGCCGTGCATCGTCTAACGTCGTTTCAGTTCGCCAGACTTCGGCACGGTGTTTGTGTGCGTGCGACTAGACGTATGCGTGTAGACTAGCTGCTAACTGATTCTACCTCTTTTAGGTAAAATTTCGGAAAAATTGAATTTGAAAATGAATAATGATCCACAAAAATCCACAACAAAATATGGGACCACCATTGACGCAGTATTTTCCAGATATTTAGAGAATATCAAGTCTCAAACTTATGTTTCTTATTTCAGTTACCATAAACCTATAGTTTTAATGATAAAAATTACTGAATAACCTACATGTATTGTAAGATAATAAAAATATTTTAAACAATATTTACTTCTCATTTATTCAATGAAAGAAAAAAAATGTTTTCTTATCTGTCACCACGCTCAAAAAGTGTAACTTGAATTAATATTAAAGAAAAACTTGAATTAATATCAAAGAAAAAAAAATACTGCATATATAAAATAAATAAATAATTATAATTGCATAAGCTGATAAAAAATGCTATGCAATAGCTTTACCGCGGCAGTCCCCGAGTGCCACAGGTATTTTTTTGTTTTTTTTTTTATGCGAATATAGGTGGATAAACGTTCGGAAGGTCTAGAGTTTCCAAAGGTTATTTTGAAACCGTAATTAGGAATCCGTTTATTTTGAGATTAATTAAACAAATTTATAGCCGATTGGGTATTGCTGCCACTATTTAACCTGCAAAGTATCTTGGTAACTGTTAATATATTTATTTATTTAATTATTTTGTATTGCAATTCAATACCCAGTGGAATCATTGGTACTGGATAAATAGCTTTCCAAGGAACCACCGTTAGTATCGATTTATACATTTATTTTGACTTTTTGGTTAAATACGCACAGCGCACGAAATAGAATAGTTAGATTTGAGACGTCCGAATTTCCAAAGGTTAATTTGGAACCATAATCAGAAATGTTTCTCTATTTTTATTTCATTTCATTATATTCGATTAGTACTATTACCCTAATTCAACCGCCGTTTCATGAGTTTTTTGTTAGATTTAAGTGGCATTTATTAGATTAGTACTATTACCCTAATTCAACCGCCGTTTCATGAGTTTTTTGTTAGATTTAAGTGGCATTTATTTGCGTATTTTTGGTATTTTGAGTTAATACACCGTTGAGTTATTTATACTGGCTAAATAGCTTTTCCAGGAACTACCGTTTCATGAGTTTCTTGTTTTAGGTTTAAGTGGTATTTAATTATTTTTTATTGGTACGCTATTTTACTTATTTAAAGTACGCCTCAGCGTGTTTAAAACGAACTTTAAAAAACGCGCGTGTTTTAAAGTTACCATGGCAACATCAACAACCCGAGAAACGTGATGTCTAAATGCGAACTTTTTAAATATTGATCTGACAGGAGTGCCTTGTAATATCAAATAAAATATTTGAGAAATTTTTCAAAAAATTTATTCAAATATTTTTTCACATTCTTAATTGTTTAAATGAATGTGGAAAGTACAGTTAATATTATTTGAAATATTAATATTAAATCAGAAGGAAATACTGTTCAAATTAAGATTGCTAACATTCTTGGAAGTCAATGAAGTTGTACTTCCAATAATATTTGAAACATTCATCTGATTGCTAATGCTCTCTTCAACGTAACCAGTCGCTACAGCTGCCGACTTCCATCCTACTTGTCGTTGGATTTGATCTATTTCATGCCATTAATCGCCATAATGGTAGCGGACGTACGTCGAAATGCATGTCCAGTATATTTCTCAGCGTTCATCTATATGTGTAACCATTTGCTCTTCCATCCACGTGTTGAATTTATCGTATTCTTTTTTATAAACCGCTTCGGATTTTTGTGGTATTAAGCGCGATTCTGCTTTATTATTTAAATTAATATTTGAACTCATTTTAAACAATAACAACTGTTGCGACAATTAATCTTACGTGACAGATTGAAAATAAATTTTTGTTTGTCTCATTTTCTTGACAACGAGGTATACTGATGTTACATCACAAATTCAGCCATTTTCAGTTATTAGTTCTTATTTCCATTTTTTTTTGTAGAAATAATACCAATATTTAGGACTTCAAAGTATACCAATAAAAAAAAATAGCGTAAAGTATTCGTGGATAATTGGTCTTTAAAACACTTGCTCTATTTCGCGCGTGTTTTAAAGACCGTTATATCCACTTATACTTTAATATACTATAGTTTATTTGTTTTTTATTTTTGATTCAATGCAATGCAATCACTGTTCCATGAGTTTTTTTTAAACGTAAGTGGTATTTATTTAGTTAATTGTTTTATATTTATTTTACCCATATTCGTCCGAATTTGTGATCAACGCGCACCCTCCGAAATAAATATTATATTTCATTGAATTTCTGGTGTTTATCGTATTCATCTCGAATTTTACCTAAATTTTCTTTCAGAGTTATCTGGTGAGTGCCTGCATAAGGTAACTTAGCCACCGAGGTTGGTGTGGGTAGGTATTATTATTGTTTTTGGGTGTTCAGTGATCTTTCCGTTTCTACCCTACTGGGAACTGACCGCCTGGAAGATATTTTAGTCGCAGAGCAGACTGCGTTAGCAAAACTAACGCTTGAGCAATCCTTATTCTAATTTTATCGTCTCAGTGCCAAACACGAATTCCTTCTTCACAGTAGGTGAAGCCTGAAGCCTCTAAAAATGGGTGAAGGGTGCGTTACCCCACGGCATTTACGCCTCACTAGGCCCATTGTGCATCCTCCTAAGATGATAGGTACCTCCTAGCTCCAAGAGGCGCTTCTCCTATATTGGCCTGTTTTAGCAGATACTCGCTGAACACATCTTATAAATGAGAGCGTCAAGTAATCGTATATGATATTCTCTATGGTCTTATCTTTTTGTTCGCATCTCCTGCAGAGTGCGGATTCTGACAGCCTCATGATATGAAGATGCCTCCATATTTGGCAATCACTAGTCAGAATGCATGTGATGAGGCACAGATTTTGTCTAGTCATAGTCAAGTATTTGTTTGCTGTAGTGTTGTCAGGATAACTTAAAAGCTACCTGGCAACTCTACAATTTATTTTTTCATTTCATCTTTTCTTGAATTTCACAGGGGAATGTTGTTTAACTAGGTCTGTCACTACACCGATGTTATCAGTCCAATAGAAGGGCCAGGTCCAAAAAGTATTTGGTTGGCTATCGTCTTGGCTAGTGAATCAACAAGACCTTTCGATGTGGCGTGACCTTTAATGGCTTTGATCCATCTTTGATGGCTTTGATCCATCTCAATATTGATGGGTACATTGGCTAAAGCTTCGTGAAATTCTAGTACTAACCCTAAATAAATTCGTGATATGTTTAGGGTGAGTGGTGCTTGTCTGCTATTTGTATAGATGAGTATGTTTCTTCCAGTGATATTATTTCTGGTGATTTCTTTTGCTGCTATGAGAATCCCCGTGATCTCTGTTTGAACTACACTTGCACTATTGCTCACATCCTATTTTATGTTTAGGTTTAAGGATCTGGAGTAATTTCAAATCCTGAGCCTTGTTTTGTTTTAGAACAGTCGGTGTATCATATCAATGAATCGTGCCGTTCGTACCTGCAACTTCCGGCTCTTCATTTTGTTCTGTTATAACTTTATATAGCTTATGGAAGATATATCTCGGTGAAATAGAGTCCATGTTCCCTTGAAGCAGTGGCTCTGGTTAAGTGGAAACACTGCATCATTTAGTTAATCAAATAAATTTTTTAAGGTGATTACAGCACCCCCTTATGATTTTCGGACAAGGATATCTCAAAAAGTAATTTTTTTAAAAAATTAAAATTTTGGTAAAATATATTAGGCAATAATCTAGAATATGCATATATTTTAAAGTTTTAATTCCTTCCAGTTTCAAAAAAAAAAAATATTAAAGGGCTTTCAATTTTGAAATATTATAATTTTAACCACCAATTTTTGCGAATTTTAAAAATCATTAACAAGACATTAGGATCTTAAATTTATGGATTATATTAAGAATAGTGCTGTTGAGGAATGCATTTATTTTCATTATGATATTTCAATATTTAAAGACCTTTGATTTTTTTCTCAGAAACTGAAAGGAATTAAAACTTTAAAATATATACATATTCTAGATATTATTGCCTAATTTATTTTGCCAAAATTTTAATTTTTTAAAAAATTGTTTTTTGAGATATCCTTTGCCAAAAATTATAAGGGGGTGCTGTAATCACCTTAACTGTTTAAGAAACATAAATTCCAGGAAAAAAGTATAATTGTAAAAGCTGTGCAGTTTCTGAAATTACTTTTATCTAGAACAGACCTAATTATTTAAATTTTTTAACTGGTATATACTTATAAATTTGAAAATTTCAGTTAAACTTTATCCTCAGTGTATATAATCAAAACATCAAATCTCAAACTTATATATTGTTTCATAAAAATATTTAATTTTAGTCATTCAGCAAAATTCAAAGCCAGAGAGGATTCACGGATGTAGAGAAACAGATTTTATGGCGCTGTATCCGCTTAATACAGATGAATCCACTTTCAAGTGTTACGATATCACCAACTAAGGAAGAAAATAATTTTTCAGAGAACGCAGGTAACCAACTGAATGATAAACTAAATAATTTGCCAGATCAGAGGACACAGGGCCCATTTAATGATAAAGCAGATCCGTATGTTAAATTTGAAAATATTCCAGGACATAGCAGAAAGAATTATAGTTCAACGAATTTTAGTAGAATTAAATCAGAATTTACATTTAAGCATTTACCCGAATATGCAGAATGCTGTAATCGATCCTTAAATAGTAAACCCAGACTTTCAACTACCTCATCGGGATATATGCGTCCTAATACAACGATATTTCTACCACGACATGAGCAAATCACAGTTGATCGTATTAAAAAATATGCAAGTTCCGAAATAATTAATACTAGTCAAGAAAATGCTTATGACGCAATCATACCTCCAAGAATTATTATACATACTGAAGAAGGCAACAATCAAAACCAAAGCAATAAAAGTAATTCCGTTTGGTGTGATTTTCTTTTAAGTATATGCTGTATTTCTTGCTCCGTTATATGTAAGAGAACAAAATAAATTTAAATACACATTCCTGCGTTCGTAATTTTATGTACCCTAGTCGTGACGTCAGTTTGTTACAAACAATATTTTATGCAAAGAACAACATTATTGTTCTCAAAGCATACAATTAAACTGTTGTAATCGGACCCTACATCCAATTGAAGGGGTAAGAACCAAAAGGGTCTAAGTGACATTTAGAAAAAAAAAGTTAAGTGTATATTCGTGTTCCTAAAAACTTACAACAGTTATTCTCTGACATAACGAAATAAGTGATTTTTGGACATTTACCGCCATATTTTGGCAACTAAAAATTCCATGTTTATGGAAATTTGGAAATATTCGATTGGCTCGTGGCAAAATGGTCTAAGTTCACTTAGACCAGTTTGCCACTAATTACGTGTACTAAATGCAAAGGAATTTCTATTAACATGCAAAATGGTCTAAGATCACTGATCAAGAACACGCAGTACTTTCTGACTACTATGAAGAAAACTAAAAGTACTTTTAATTATGAAGAATACTAAAATGTTCATTTTTTGTATTGATAAGTTTTATTTTCCTAATAAAAATTTTGCTAAATAAATTTTTTTTTTCCAATGTTTAGAAGCAAAAGGGTCTAAGTAACATTAACAAAAATATTAGGCCCATTAGCGAAATTTTAAAATTTTCAAAAAAAAACTGACATAATATTAAATAACATAAAAATAATGATGACAAAATATTTACAAAAAACAACTAACTTTAACGTTAAATTTCTCAAAATAAATTATTTGTCCTTAGATCTTTTAGGTTCTTTACCCTTCAATAATTAATTTTTCCCATTATTCGACAATTTCGCATTACTCATGCGCGAATAAAATCGCGGGAATTTTAAATCAAGTAATTTTCCAAACACTTTCTGCTATCTTTTCCTTATCCTGGCCTTGCAACTGTTGAGTTGGCTATGACGATTGCTCCATGTCATCGTTACTTTAAACAACTGTCATTAATTCTATATAGTAGGGAGCCGGAATAGAATATAAAGTAGTAAGAAAGGAGTGTGTGCCATATTTCCAATAAGAAACGTAGGTGACAAAGTCGGCCATTTTGGTAAACCATTTATAAATCATTGATTGTTTATGTATCATTTGAAAGTTGTTTTTTGTATTATATTTTGCAAGTTATTAGTTGTTGAACCATTTTTAGTCGATAATAGAATAGTTATTATATAAAATCCAATTTTAGTTCAATAATACATAATCTTAGTTCAATAAATATAGTGATAAATGCAATGGTTAGTTGTAGTGCTTGTAGATGCTCAAAGACTGCTAAAAATGACTTTTTGAAACACCATTCATTTTATAGGTCTAAGAACCATGTATTTTACGTAAAATTTTAATTAATGCATAACAGTTGCTTCTAACTTACAATTGCCATTGACTTGGACGTCATCGAACACAATGTTTAATTTCAACTTTTCACTAACAGTAAGAAAATTGATCAACTCCTTTTAGATTAGCACGTCCATTAAGCTATTTTTAATTTTACACATAATATAAAAACAAGTTTTTTACCAGAAACTTAAATATGATGTTTATGTTAATTCAGTTTCATGCACCATTTTACTTAGCGAATTTATCATTATCATAAATAATGAATGTAAAGTGTAAAAGTCATAATGACTAATTTATGATTTGCTGTTCTAACTATAATTAATATTTGTAATAATAGTAATAGTAAATTATTAACAAACTTAAAATCTGATCCTGTCAAAAAGATGAAGCTGAAACTAGCAGCCAGAGTCAGCAGCCTGTGTGAGAAAATGCATACAAATTAGATATCACAAAATAAAGCAATTTTACTACTTACTACTTAATTTGTCTTATTATAATAATATTAATGATATATAGGGGTGGGTGCGGATCCAAGGGTCCCAGGTTCGAATCTCACCGTTGGCCGGTATTTTTTTATTTAATTTAATTATTTAAATCTAATTCTGCTGCCTTGATAGGGTTCCCCACTCGACCATTCACTGTTGGGTTCTAATTAACAGTGCTGTTCCTAAAGTGGAGATGAGAAACAGTAACAAAGCCTACACAGAACACGAGGCGAAATAACCTTAGTAGTTGAAGTCGATGACACACAAAAAATAACAATAATAATGATAATAACAAAGGGAAGTTATCCGTATTTGGAAAAATAAATATTAGTAAAAATGAAATGAATATAGGTACTTTAAAAAAAAACTTTAAATGTATATTCAATTTTTTTTAATGAAAAATATTCTGCGCTGGGTTAAATCATACATACATAAATAGATTCCTCAAGTAATAGACTACAAGAGCACGTCATTCAAAAATACAGTATTGAGTGCTGGATTGTTGAAATTATTATATTTGTGTGCTAGAGTAATACCTAACACAACAAACAGTTTTTTTAATGAAAAATAACCGGCGCTGGGTTTTATCATACATAAATGGAATCCTCAAGCAATATGCTAAGTTAATCAAAACTACAATAATCAGTGCTAGAACGTTGAAAATATCAAAAAACATTTAGGCTCGAGAGACATTTCCAATAAAAATGTGATTTCTCTTAAGGCGCCAGATGAGTTGTATAAGCCACGGCTTATTTGGTTTGAGGAAGCAGCGACGTTCCTTGACAATAGCTTTGGTAGGGAATCTTGTAGCAATATGGTAAGATCACGTTCATTAATTAATAATTAATAAAAAATTATAAAAAAACGTTTTTATTACAGGGTTCAACGGAAGTGACTCAAGAGGAATCTTTACAAGACACATCAGAACCAAATACTGATCAGGGAATGGTTTCACAAGAAACTGGTCAAGGTACATCTACCATAGCGGAAAATAAATCGAAAGCTAAAAGAAAAAAACATACTGTTGTACCTGATCACATTTCAGTTGCTATGGAAAATTTAGATGAATTAAAAAAGGGTTTAAAAGACAAGGATGAATTTGATTATTTTGGGATAAACATTGCACATCAGTTTCGAGCATTGCCTCTCAAACACGCTCTAAACTATCAAACAATGATCCAACATATATTAATGAGACAGCGTATTGACTACGTACGAGAAAAATCATTATCTTCTCGTTCATCACATACGTCCGCACCGTTACTTTCACCAGTATCATCTTTACAATCACCATTATATGAAGAGGACCTACAGCAAGAGTCTTGCCTCATTAGTCAACCAGAGTCAAGTTCAATGGAATGGACCATCGGCAACCACAACACTAATTCAGCTGAATCACATTATGTAGGTAATTCTTGTGCAGGATTCAGTGTAGATACTTCTAATGATATTTTGTCCCAAGCCATAGGGACTATTCTTACGAATTCCTATGATTAGGATGTATATAGTATCTACTTTATAATTTAACATTTTTTATGACTGTAACAGAGACTGTAATTTTTTTTGACAAGAAAAAAATATTTTGTCAACAATATTTTATTTTTTCGTGTTTTACAAGTTTAAATTTTATTCCATTGCCAGTCAACCGCCCCGTCTCCCATAAAATATTCAGCATATTTGTCACCCCGAATAGCTGCTTCCTTACTGTAGTTATGGCTGCCCCAGGAATGTCCTCCAATAAATCCTTGATCAGTTGGTACATCTTTTCGCCCTGAGCCAGGGGATATAATTCCAGTATCCATATCTTTGTGATCAGCAGTTCCTGGAGGCATATAATAATTTGATGAAGCTCTCCGTAACCAGTTATGTAGAGCACAACTCGCTTTTACAATGTCATCAACTTTATCAGGAGATAATTCAAATATTCGAAACCGAGATGCCAGAATACCAAAAGCATTCTCCACTATTCTCCGTGCCCTTGACAGACGATAATTAAACACTCTTTGGCTTTGAGACATTTTCTGCCGTGAATAAAATTTCATTAAATATATTTTTAGGGGAAAATCGTCATCTCCCACAATAATACCCCACTTTGGAAAGCAGAGGCTGTTGTCCTCTATGGCAGCCTTTAAAGCAGATTGAGCAAATATACTGGAATCGTTCATTCTTCCATTTGATTCGATATCTATATATGAACTCGTAATTGCTACCAACCATAGTAAATAATACCGTACTAAACTATCCCTTGTAATTATAGAATTCACTTCCACTCTTGATGGGACAGCAGTTGATACGAATATGTTTGCCATCTATGGCTCCACAACATCCTGGAAAATTCCACCTCAACTCAAAGCCCTTAGCGACTGTTTTCCCCTCCTCTTAAGACTTCGGAATATGTATAAAATCTTGTAGTTTATTGTATATGGCTTTCAAAACAGGTACCAGGAATTTAGAAATTGTACTCTTTGGTACCCTGTACATATGCTCAAGAGTATTGAAGGACTCCCCAGTAGCCAAATAACGTAATGTAATTTGAAGTTTTATTTCAGGTGACAATGCTTGTCTGAAACACGTGTCTTGCTTTCTTATAATTGGAGACACAAGTTCCAACAGTTCTGAAAATTTTTCAGGACTTAATCGTAAATGATTTATGTACGTCTGTGGGTCTGCCAGTTTAACTTCCTGTAACAGATTATCGGACACACCATATTTTTCGCGATTTTTAATCCTTTTTCTCAACCACAATCTTCTTTTACGTCGTTTTGTTTTTAGTGAAACTCTTATTTCTTCTTGTAACATTGCAGCAACTACTTGAATTCCTAGAGCAAGTTCACTCATTTTCACTTTATTACTAGTACTAATATGTAAACAGATTCACAACAACCAGTAAATTAGCGCTAGTTGACTGGTGCTAGATAACTGGCATAATGTCAACGCGCCTTTAACGAAAAATTATCGGCCAAAGACATTAGTTGTAATGTCTTTGTTATCGGCGCTGGGCAGGGCCGGTTTTAACCTAACCTAACATGAGGCCCTAGGCGCCAGACAATTTTGTATTTAAGTATGGGTTTTATTTTCTAAACTAAGGTATGGCATTACAAAAAAAAATGAATATGCCATTAATATTCAAAATACCATGAATATAGGCATACATAGA